GAAAAGCTTATGAAGAAATATACTGGGGGGGTACAAACAGGGAGAAAGGAGAGCAAAAAACACCATGATACCAGCAGGAAGCTTCCATTTATTATGCTTGCTTTTTTAAAAAAGTAAAAAAAGCCTTTATTGTTCACTGTGTAATAATGCAAGGTGTTTGTGACAGTAATGGGAAATCTATTTGTTTCTTTTCTGCCAAGCCCTGTGTCAGTCTGCACTTCTGACAGCTTGGGCCTGGAGATTAAAAAAATTACACCCTTGATTTAGGGCCAGTTTCCTGAGAAATTCTAGGCCAAAGTTGGTTTTATCGGGGGTTCTGTTGGTGCACTATGTGAACATGAGAAATACAAATGTAAATATGTGTTATCATAAGCATGACCTGGCTTTTAGAACTTCTTTCCTTCAAATAATTTTTGTGTAGTTTTTGGCTACATTAATGCTCCTGTGGAGAGAAACCAGCTGTTCAGTAAAACAGTGCTTTTCTGCTTGGAGAAAACTTTGAGCACGTGGAGTTTGGAGGCTTCTTAGGTGTGACATTTTCAGAATACTGAGTTCAAAAAAAAAAGATAAAACTAGTTGTAGTAGGACTCTGAGAGTGCTGCTTTAAGTTACACTACACCACCTCCCATTTTCAGTGGCAATGCTGTCCTCAAAATTGAGAAGGGAAACGGAACATGATGAACATGTTAAAAGTGGCATCTAAGAAAACATGGATTATGTCAGTATAAAATAGTGGAATGGTTATAGTAGAAAATGGCAGGAAATGAGTAAAAGTAGCAAATGGAATTTGGAACTGGAAAGCAGTTTAGTGTCTGTTCAATTTTATACTCTTTGCAGATAAAGAGGTCTGCTTGACCCCAGTTTGCTGGATGGACACCATCAGTTCTTGCTGTTGATAATTCAGCTTTAGAGAAGGCACGAGCTGAGCAAGGAGAATAAATTGCAGAACTGTGATACCACAATGACAAGAGTTCACATTCTGAGCTTGTTCTTGGCTTCTTGGCCTCATTTGTTCATACAAGGTGTAGGAAAAGGGAGTTAATAGTTAAGAAATGGTAAATTCAGTGAATGCTCTTTTAAAAGATCGGGAGTTCAAGACTGCCATTTTGGATAGTTCTTGCTTTAGTTTTAAATGTAGGCTTTCACACATGTAAAAAACTAATCCTTTTGTGCCACAGACTGGGGAAAATTCACTGTAAATGTTGCTGTATGGAGAGCATGAAAAGAAAAATCCCATGTAAAATATAATTTTCTCTCTTACCCTATAAATCTTTTGATTTATAATGTGTGAGCTGTAAAGTCAGAGCATTAAGGTTTGGCAATTTCTTAAGATGCAAACTCATTCTAGAAACTCATTTCAGCAGTTTGTTCCAACTTGTTTTGCAAATGCAGCATTCTTTAGTTACTTTACAGTACAGACTCTTGTGATTCATAAAATTTAGCATTTAGCCTTATTTTTTAAATTAAAACTATTAGTATAAACCCACATATGATATGATGAGTTAGGGATCAGAATATGGTACACCATTATAGACTGCAAAAGTGATTATGTCCTGTTTGTATTTTTAAAGGTCCCAGCACCAGAACATGCAGAAAGAGGTGGCATAAGTAACGTGACAGAAGCTAAAATAGTGCTCTTTCTCACATCCTTGTTTATTAAGGTAACTCTCACTTTAGCGCATTGTTTGGAGGGGCAGCTTTGTAACTAATGATTCTTACATTGCTGTAGTAATGGCACCTCCTATGTTTTGGGTTATTCTTTGAGGGATAATCTTAAGGATAAATCGAGGGTTGACTGCAAGTCAGTACAGTGAGGAGCCTGAGCTCTACATTCCCTTCCCTGTCCCTTGCCTGGCTGGATTTGGGATGTAAAATAAATCAGCTGGATGCCAAATTCTTTTAAGAGATGAACACTTCCTTGGGAGGGATGGGAGAGGATTTGCCTTTCTTCCTTATTTCATCCAGTAATACAGACTAGGAGTTCTCAGTGTTCACCTCACAGTTTGACAAAGAAAGAAAAATGAGGATTTCCTGGATATCTGTCTTTGTGCTAAGTTAGGGCAAAGCTTGGGAGCTTGCAGTAACTAATGTTTTCTGTTTTCTTTAGTTAATACCAGTTCCACCTATAGTTCCATTGATGACTTAGTGTAGACACAATATCTTGCAGCACTGTTTAAAAAAAACCAAAGAAATCCTTGAGGGTTTTGTGATGGTGATGAGTTTCCCAAGCCAACTGCAGTGACAGCTTTTTTCTTCTGTTCCTGCTCCATTCAGGCTGGCTGCAAGCCTTCAGACATTGGCATCATATCACCCTACAGACACCAATTAAAAACAATCACTGATTTGATGGCAAAACTGAAGGAGAACAGAGTGGAAGTCAACACGGTCGACAAATACCAAGGAAGAGACAAAAGTATCATAATCGTGTCTTTTGTTAGGAACAGTAATGATGAAAATGTAAGTTGGTCATACTACCTTTGTGCCAGTCAATTGTGGTAGCCAGATGCCTTTTGAAAACGAGTGTTTTATCTACATTAAATAGGACAAATAAAAGCAAGTTCCATTTATCTGACAGCTCGGCAACCTCCTGAAGGACTGGCGGCGCCTGAATGTTGCCATCACGAGAGCCAAGCACAAGCTGGTCATGGTGGGCTGTGTTCCATCCCTGAGCTGCTATCCTCCCCTGGAGAAGCTCCTCTGCCACCTGCAGTCCCACGCAATGATATCCTTTTTCTGCACCCTGGTTTGGGAAAGGGGAAAGGTAAGATTGACTTACTGAGTTTTGAGGTAAGGATGGGAAGATCTTGGATTATTTAGCTTGTGTTTTTAACAGTGATTTGCCGCACAGCACGAAATGTGCCAATTAAACTTGCCAGAAGTATACTCGAGATGAAGAAACAGAAAAAAGTCCATACTGATTTGCAAGTCAACTTTGACGTAATTTTTTAATTTTGAGGCCTGAATTTCTGATTTTTAATGCTCTTGCATTCTTTTCTGTGACCATTGTAGTTTCTTGGCATCTTAGTGTGATTGCTTTCTTCGGAAGTACCATGCACTTCAACACATCTGCTTCGTGGATAGTCTTGCTGGAAAGGAAAATAGGTTCACTTTCAGGTGACTTGTTCATTTTTCGTTTCTCTCTGGCATTGTACTGAGTAAGCTTTAGCTATGGCTGTTTCCATCTCCTGTTTAAACAGGAAATAACCTTGTTAGCTGCTTTCTTTGCAAACCCCAGTACATATTCAAACAGGTTTGGGGAAAGTGATATATTGTCATAATGCTTCCTTAACTTGCTACATCTTCAATCTTCCAGCCGGGGCTCATGAAAGTATCCACAAGTGTAACATCTTATGAGCATGAAGATGGGAAGTTTTACAGGCATTTGTATCTTTTCTTATGCTTTGGTTCTAAAGACTTGAAAATGCAGTTTACATACAGTGATTCCATTTACTGGAATTCCCAATTAAGGTGCTGGGTTGTGCTATCTGGAACAAAAATAGGAAAAACATCTTTGTCATCATCAAAGCCTCACATTCTTCTTTAAACTCTACTCCTGTTTTTAAAATACCGAAATGTTTTATATTTATATATATAATGTATGTAATTAATCTCTCTCCTGAAGATCCCTTGATGACTTTTCTAATCTCTTGATTTTGCACACATCAGGGAGAAATGTGATGCTGATTAACTTAATTCCCTGTTATTAACTGTCTTCAGCAGATCAGTCTGAAGTGAAATGCTTCCTAGTAAAACTCTGTTTTCAGTTTGTCTGATCTGTAGTCTTCAAAACAAAACTTTCCCAAGAAACAGAGCCAGAGCTGCAGCTTGCTGACTGAGAAGTTTACATGCTCAGGTTCTATTTTTTTTACAGATATGAATATTCATATTGGATATGATAATAGCAAACACTGTTTACTTGAGACATGTGTAGTCTTTATGCTACCTCATATTCTAGACTAAAGAGACTGAAAAGTTTCTTTCCAAGATTGCTGTTGGAAACATCAATTTTCTTGATTCTTCAGAATCATTAGGATTTGTTTTCTCTGGGATCAATGTCAAGTAGCTGTGTGCATACAGATGCAGACAAACTTCTTAAATGTGGGCATTTTCACTCTCTTACACTGCTCCCTGACCTTTTGTAATGCTTGAAATAATAAAAGTTTGCTGTTTCATCATGCTTGTTTAAACTTTGTTAATACTGTGCTTTATATAATACAAATATTTATATAATACAAATATTTTTAACAGTTCAATATCCTTTTAGTATCTGACAGCATATCCTCCTTTTTCTGGTGAAAATACATGTTGCATCAACTGTGTCTGTGCTCTGGGTCTTCCATAAGATGGAAAAAAATATGGTAAAATACACTGTTCATTATGGTAGTAATTCAGAACAACATATACTGGTTTAGAAGAGTTTTTCTTTCTATATTTAGGATCTACATGTACAAAACACTAAGACTTAGCTAATCTATTTTCTTACACCAAGTTCTGCTTATCCAGGAAATGGTCCGCATGCTAAAAAGTTTATAAAGAAATTCGAGCTCAAGAACATTTCCTTATCTACTTATAAAATGCATCCTTCCTTCTTTTTGCATGGTGAAACTTAGATCGAGCAATGATCTACAGATGAAACCATGTTTTGGTCTGGTGTTCTCCAACAAAATTGAGATTTGATGCTCTAAAACACTTTGAATATATGTAGCGAATGTGTGTGTGTATATATCTATATCTATCTCTATATATATCTATCTCAAAGATAGAGATATATATATCTATATATCTATCTAAAAGATATATATATATATACATATATATCAAAGTGTGTGCCTGTCCCCGTGGGCTGTTCCAGGCCTGTGCTGCCCTTGTCCTTTGGTCCTTCCTTGCAGGCCCGTTTTTTCTGTGCAGTTTTGTGTGCAGTCTCTGAAGCTGAGCAAAGTAAAGGACACCTTTTTGTTCTACAGCTTTCTGATTAGCCTTGTCTAAGGAGGGGAAAGATCAGGATTTAGAACAATTATTAAGCAAAGCAAATTGCAGTGCTTAGGGTGCAGTAAGCACAAACTGAGATCCCATCTGGGTGTGACAGAAATGCTTTGTGTTTAATGCCTCGGTGTGTTTTATTTTGTTGGTTTTTTTTTTCTGGTGATATTCATGTTTTAGGTTTTTTATAAATTAAACCCCAAAACCTTACTTTTTTTAAATACTACCTTTTATTTCCACCGTACTATGTTCTAAGGTGCTGAACTCAAAAGATTTTTTTTTTTTCTGGAATACTACTGCTACTTGTTCTGATACACGTTTCCCGGCTTCAGAGAATTATCATTTGGAATAAATGTCAGGGATTGAAGCTTTCAGTGGCGAGAGGGGTAGGGAAGGCTCAGGTTCGTGCTGCTGATTGTGCTTAGCTGATGTCAGAGGCCTCGTGTGCCGCAGCCTGCCCTGGCTCTCTTGCTGACGCCCCCTGCCCGGGCTGTGTGCTCAGCGCGGCCCCCGCGGCTGGGGGGACCTGTCGCGACAGGGCGATAGGGGCGGGTCCTCCCGCCGCCGGGGGCGCCGTGCGGGGCGGGCGGGGCCGCGGGCCCGCAGGGAGCGGCTGCGGCGGCTCCTCCTCTACGGCCATGGGTGAGCGCGGCTGCGGCGCCGGGAGCGGGAGCGGGAGCGGGGCCGGCCGGGGCGGGGGCGGCGGGGCCGGCGGGGCTGGGCGCGGGGGAGCAGGGCGGGGGTGGCCACCGGGGCCGGAGCGGGGCCGGCGCGGGCTCGGGGCGCGGTGCCGCGCGGTCCCTGGGGCTGCGGGCGCCGTGCGGGGGCTCTGCCGGGAGCGACGGGCTCGCGTTCCGCCCGCTGCCGCAGCCAGACCCCGCTCAGCCCGCGGCTGCCCGTCCGGACGGCAGGAACATCGTGCCCTGCGCCACGGCCCTGGTGATGCCGAAGAGCAGGGCCAGCGGCAGACAGCGCCTTCGGGGCTGAGGGGAGCCCTCAGAGCTCCTTCTGCTGTTTGTGCCGCACCCCGTACGGTACCTGAGCAGCAGTTAGCATTTAGGATTTTACACACCACGTTAAATGCTAAATATTTTATTTATTTATTTATTAAGAAGTGGGTAAAATAAAATAGCTATATGCGGCTAGACCATGCTTTAAAACAGACCCTAAAATGCATTTTGCCTCGGAAGAAGCAGACGAGAGGGCTGACAGTTAAAAGGACACTAGATGCGGGAGTCTTGTCTGTGGGCAGGATCAGCTCCAAAAGTCAAAATGAGGTCACCTGAAAAAGGAATTGATACGATGGCTTTGGGCAATAGAGAGGATATGCAGCAAGGGAGAGCTATCCACCTGAAGCCTGCAGCAAGCAAGGCGTTTCCTACGCTAACACTTGTGTTTAGTACTGTCAGTAGCAGACCTAATAAAGCAGCAGGAAGTCTGCCTTACCCACGGAAAGGCTCCTCTCGTTGCAAGTCTCACCTGCCACAGCCAGGCACCCTGTGCTGATCCTGCCCCGGGCAGGGTCTGTCAGTCCTGGCACTGAGTGGGCAGAGAGGCAGGAGACAAAGCAGGGAGCTGTCCCTGCCAGCTGGGCACATTTGTGCCAGAACACTCTCTCGTGGTTTCCTGGGGTTTTCTGTTGAGGTGTGGTAAATTAGGGGACTATAAAAGGAGTTTTTAAGGTTGTCTCAGGTAAGTCATCTCAGTGATTTGTTTTTTCCTAGGAATAGGTTATATTGGATGGTAATAGAGTAGTTGGGTATTTGGAAGGCAAGTAGGAAAACATAATACTAGAAAGTAATTTCCTAAGTTTCTAATAACTAATATCTAAATACCTAAAGCTGTGGTATGCAGGAAATGAAAGAAATCATTCCCCTGCTGTTGAGGAACTGAGAAGATATCCATCTGTTATGATGGTTTGGGTTTTTTGTGCTTTCTGATGTGCAAACAGCTATACCAGTACTGAGATTTGCAGAGGAACAGGCTCACATTTTTTCTAAAACACAAATCTTCTAGATATTCTGACATCTGTGTCTCAGTGTCTTGAATAAGATGAGATGTGTTTGGGTTTTTGCTTCATTTTTTGGATTTAATTAAAGAGTAAATCATCGACTCTTTTTGCTTCTTTCCAGGTTACTTTGATCATGGTGAATTAACTGAGGGTTGTTTGGTCTGTGTTTTAGTTTGACAAAATAGAGGCTGGTCTGAGTGTTTGTGTTTGAACTGCTTCACTACAAATGAAATTAAACTAAGAATTTCCTGAACACTGATTTCAGTAGCAGGAGCTCTACGAAGAGGAACCTTGTCCATTCTGTCAGACTAAGATGACTGTAAAAAGCTGTAGGTTTTTCATTAGTTTTTTTTAATGCAAAATGTATTTTTGTAGTGTATACTTTGTAAAGTTTAACAAAAACTTTAATTTAAAGCAAACCCTTTAATTCTTAAGCTTTCCTGTGTAGCAAATACTTTGTGGCTAGATGAGAAACTGGATTTTCAGTATGTAATATGTAACATTTTCCTGAAACTGCTCCTTGTTTAGTGGCTAAGACTCTGTGCTGCCTAAGAAGGAAGCTTTGTGTCACTGTGAAATTAAAGTTAATTAATTAGTAAGTGATTGTAGATAAGAAGTAGGATGCCTGCTTCTGTATGTAGACTATAGTACACGAGATAAATACGTACATTAGTAGGAATGCTGCTTTGGTGCCATGGAAGGGGCACTGATGGCAGTCCTACAGCAGAGTTTGGGGTGCAGCCTGTGTTAATCTGCACTTACTTGCTGGGACAGCACGGTACCTAAACTGATATTTCCATAAGAACTGTTGGAGTGGGTGCTTTTCTCTAACGTGGTGCTTTGCAGCACTTCCTGAGTAGTTCCTGGGAGTTTACCCAGGCTCAGGTCTGAAAGAGGCGGCCAGGCAGCCTTTCATTACTCTGCCTTTCTCCTAAGACTTGAACCATCACGTTTTCTTCTCTTGTCTTAGCTGTAAAGGATCCTACAGCTGTAGAAAGAGCAAACTTATTGAATATGGCTAAACTGAGTATCAAAGGCCTCATTGAGTCAGCGCTGAGCTTTGGCCGCACTCTGGATTCCGACTACCCCCCTCTGCAGCAGTTCTTCGTTGTCATGGAGCACTGCCTCAAGCACGGCTTGAAAGGTGTGGTAATGGCTCTACCTGCATATTTCTCATCCCAAATGTGTCATTTTTCTTCCTTTCTTTCTTGAATTAGATAAAAAAAAAGCGTCTTATGTTGCATTAAGAATTGAAAAATATGTAAATTGTCAGCTTTTATGACTAATAGTGTCATTAATTCTTCACCACATGTATTTCCACGTTTCCCAACTTTTTCTTTTCTACACCATTTGTTGTAAGTGGTCCAGGGATTACCTCAACTGCATGTATGTATTTAGTATATATTTTTAGCTAGACATCCTTTTTATATTATTTTGTTCTAGCACATCAATTTTCCATTCCCAGCAAAGTAAGTGGGAAGTTGACTTTGGATACTGGTGAGCTGACCAGTGTGGAAGTTAGGAGTTATCTGGAAGCCTAGACTCAGCAGTTAACCCTTTCACACAACAGCTAGTAGAAAGAAAGCTACTGCAGTAATTTAAATTAATTCAGTTACTTAATTTTTCTTTTCATAGTAAGAAAATCCTTTCTAAGTTACAATAAAACCATCTGGGGTCCTCTGGAACTTGTGGAGAAGTTATATCCAGAAGCTGAGGAAATAGCAGCAAGTGTCAGAGATTTGCCCGGCCTTAAGTAAGTACTACTGGCAAAAATACAGGAAAGTAAAGGACCTGATTAAGAATTTACAGGTGTCTCATGATTTCATTTTGTATTAAGACTTTGAACAGCTAGCTTTGATACTGGGGGGAGCTCAAGGGAGTCCTGCTAGCTTTGCTTGTTCTGTACAAACCAGCCAAAAAAGTAGTGTTTCTGTGTTCTTTTCTGATGCTCTTGGGAGAAAAGTTTCCTGAATGGTGGACAACAACGGTGCAAAAAGGAGCAGGTTGTGTGTCAGTGCCTCTGTGGTCTAGAACTGCAGCAAACACTGAGTGCAATCAGCAAAGGCTGTGTAAAACTGGAAGGTGACAGACCAGAGAGGAAAGCTTTTCATATTCTTGTGTGCAGCTTTTCATATTCTTGTGTGCAGGGTCCTACTCAAATATAAATTTATGCTGTGAGCTACAATCTCCTCCCATTCCACTGCACTCTGCTTTGTATTTAACTTGATAATTGGCTGCACATGAAATGGTTATGCTGTGATTGGGATGTGGCAGTGTAAGGGTTATAATGTGTAGCTTTAGAACTCATCTAAAGCACTTAGGCATATAAATTGTTATTTGTTCTTGGGCCAGATGAAATAATACCCTTTGCCAAGCATGTTATTCTCCTGCTATCCACATACAGCTTGTGTTTTTTACATTTATGTGCCTACCACTTCTAAGTGTGCAGGCACTAGGAGAGGAAGAGCTAAAGGTCCAGGTTCAATTTGTTGGATATTCATGTTTGCCCTTTACATACATTTTCACCTTTTTTGCCATGCCTTCCTAAGAAGGCACAGAATTTGTACACAAGTGTGAGTTAAAGCTACAATTCGGTCCGTGTTCAGACCCAGAGAACAGGATTGGGAAGGCAGGCTGGCACAGGGAGTTGTGATGGGCATTCTGTTACTCTTCTTGCAGTTCCTCTGAAAACTTTATAAACAAATTGCAGAAAGGAGCCTGAAGTGTTACAGACATTTTACTTCAGCAGAAAACAGGACTTTCAAGATTATCAAGCTTTTGTGCTTTCTCTAGTCCTGTTCTTTCCAGGGTCTGCTCCCGAGCTCAGCTGAGTAGATGAAAATTTTTCTGTTACCCCAAAGTTGGGAGTCAAGGCCTGGACATTGTGGCTTCCCAGACTGTGATGCTCAAGTTAACAGTTTAAAATACCACTCCAGAAATACCAATTGCTCTACCAGAATACCAATAAAATGTTACAGACCATGAATTGATCAATATATTATTAATTTGGGGCCATTTGTGTTGGTACCCTTTGTTTCAGGACGCCGCTGGGCCGTGCCCGGGCCTGGCTGCGGTTGGCACTGATGCAAAAGAAAATGGCTGATTATCTTCGCTGTTTGATCATCCAGAGAGATCTCCTCAGGTAAACAACCCATTAGATCTTGGGTTTGAACTTCTTTTTAGAGGATTAGTCTCCTAAAAAAAAGCAGTTATGCATTCCTCCACCATGCAGAAAAAGGACTAAAAACCTCTGGAGTTCATCTGATTTTCAGTGCTGTAAGCTGTCCATATTTTTCAGACTAGTTTTGTATGCCTAGCTAATGCTGCTATGTCAGGATGTCATTTGATTGCTGTTCAATAGCTGTGGACTTTTCCATTGAAAACACAGTTTGTCATATAGAATCTAAAACTTTCTTTAAAAAATGCAAGGAGGAGAAGGTGCTGGTGTGCTGTCGTTTAGCAAAGTATTTTTATTTTAAGAACCTTTTTAACATTTCAGCCCTTTATGTTTGCCTTTTACAAATTTAATCTCATCCTTGGCTTCTTGAATTTCAAGCATGTATTCATTAAAGTCCAGTGTTTTTTTCACACAAGGTAATTTTTTTATCATTCTTCTTTTGCCTTGCATTGCAGTGCTTCTTAACAACATGAGAATTGTCTGAGTCAGTGTGGCCAGACATCCATCTGTTGTAGTATCCTGTTCAAAAATGGCTAATAGCAAATGTGTACAGAAGAGCCTTTTCTGGTTTGGTTTGGTTTTTAAGGCAAATAAAACCTTGCCCTCAGCCATCCCAGCCATCCAGCAACTTGTGGCTCAGATTTCTGGAGCCAAAGGGAGTATCTTAGTTTATAATAGCCTCTGATACAAACCATGCACTTGGAATTTTTAAATATTTATGAGGTGAAAGTATAGGCAGGCCCAGTTCATCTTGAAGGATGTTGTAGGAAGGCTACAGTAAGAGAAACAATTCAGATTTGTATGTCACTTATTATTAATTTATTGAATGTATATATAAGGAATACACCAATAAGATGCAATTTTCTTCTTTAACAGTGAATTTTATGAGTACCACGCTCTGATGATGGAGGAAGAAGGAGCAGTAATTGTTGGGCTGTTGGTTGGGTTAAATGTGATAGATGCCAACCTGTGTGTGAAGGGAGAAGACCTGGATTCACAAGTAAGTCAACACAGGTAAAGGAATGTATGTGCGATCCATAGAATGTTTATGTCCAGTGAATTTTGTTACTATGGAGTTGTGATTTGTTAGAAATCTTACTAGAGACTGTTCAGGGTGTGATGATCCAGCTCCTGGGGCCATGGGGCTGTTGAATTAACCTCATATCAGGTGGGTCAGGCCTTTGGATGGTGGGGATTGTCAGAGTGCAAGGGTGCAGGGTTATGCTTTGTCATCACATGGATGCAACAGTAGCAAGGCAGAGTTGTTTCCATCCTCACTGTGTAACTCGTCCTTCTCCTCTAGAGGATGTTCCCTGATCAGTTTATCCTGCTTGGTTCATTTATTGCCGTTCTGGAACGTAATAGGAATGATACAAGGACCTGGAACAAAAACTCTCTTTGCGTAAAAACCTTATGAGAGGTGGGACTACTTTCAATCTTCAAAACAAGACTTGGAATTCTTCCTGCTTTGCAACGAGCTTTGACTTTGAACTTCAATCTTTTCCGAGAAAATCTTAACACATTCTCTTAAAGGCAGATGCACAAGTATTTGCAAATAAATGTAGACTGTATTCAGTCCTGAGGATTTTTTCAGCTTCTTTGTGGAAAGAATCTTAGTAGTTTAAGTGATTATTGCTGTATTGCAGCACATATTTGATGAAAAACAATTCCTCTGGGAAAGAAAACTTATAGCTAACTGGATATGTGTGCTGTTGGATCAAAGGGTTAACTTGTCCTTGATTGTTTGTTCTGGTTACTATCTAATATTAGTTTTAGACACCCATCTTGTGTAAAAGAAGATCTAACACTGGAAGGCCTGTAATTATAAAAAAACTTACCAACTTGCTCTTGGTGTTGAGAATGAAATGCCTGTATTGTAAATCCCCAAACCTGTTGCCAGCTGCACCTCTGTTATCTGGGTCACTTGGTGGCCTTGCTGTGTGAGGGAAGGTAAAGCTTCATTTGAGAAGGTAGAAGTGGCTGTGCAGATGAGATTCTGTTTGCAACTTGTCCAGATGTGACATTTATAAAGTGTCCAGAGTAATTCTGTTAGTGAAGAGTGGTATAAATGAGGCACCTTCACAGAGAAGCCAGAAGCAGCAAGTTGTGTTGAGCAGAAAGACAAAACTTCTGGAGACAAGAACTTGATGGAAGTTTTGTCTGAAAGACAGAACTTGATGGATGTTTTGTCTGAAAGACAAAACTTGATGGAAGTCGCAGCCAGGAGCAGTTTTGGTGTGTTAAAAGAATGTTGTTCAGTGGTGAAATGTGTATGTGCACACATGGAGAACTAAAATAAAGGAACTTTGGAGAGAACTTTTTACCTTTTTTTTTAATAGACATTTTACCTTTTTTTTAATAGACATAGTGCTTGGCTTTAAGAAGCAAAATACATTTTAAAAAAGCTTTTGGAGAAGAGACTTTTTAGCAAAGACATGGAAAGAACAAGTAGAAGACCATCACAGGATAGTGACTGCATTGTATAAAACAAGTAAATGTTAGACTTAGCAAGTTACTTGTATCCAAAAGCTAAAGACAGCTCCAGAAAAGAGCAGTAGATCAGAGAAATTGAAATACTTTTGTGAAAAGGCTGCTAGAGACCAAAAAGGAAGGAGTTTGGTAAAGAAAACGTGGTTCAATATTTTTGTTAGACATTCATGAATAGAGCTGGAAGCAGAACTCGTGGCAGTGTTAAATATATAGTATGTATGATTAAATTACAATTGAATAGGAAATAAATTAATTAGATTCAGATTTGGAAAAGATTAAAAAAATGAATGCAGTTGATTTGTCCCCCTTGGGAATCAGCAATTGTGGAGAGGTGGTATTATTTTGACAAGGAATATTGTAAAACAAAACATGGGGTAACATCAGTTTGGGAGGTGTGCTGTGACAGGGAATCATGTGAAACACTAATCAGCCTCTAAGCTTGTGGCTAAGCTCAGTCAGAGGAAGAAGTCATCTTTCCTTTGGAATTTGGTACATGGCACATGGTTAATTTTATTTATGTAACATAATTATGTAACATAATTCTTAGTAAATATGGAATCTACACTTAAAAAAAAAGAATCTCGTTTAAAATGGTATAGTTCAGATTTTTAGCTGAAACTGGACCAATCTCAAGGCCATAAATATCAACAACAGTTATTTGCATGATATGAAACTGTACCTTTGCTTTCCTCTAGGTTGGGGTGATTGATTTCTCTGTGTATTTGAAGAGTGATGATGACATCGGGGGTAAGGAAAGGTATGTCCTCACCAAATATCTCTGATTTTGCATATTAAGAAATGCAAAATCAGTGGGGCCCTGTCCTTTGTAGAAATAAGTCAGGTTCCCTAGAAATGAAATCTTCTGATTTCAGTCTCGAGCAAAATGGCATCCTAAATTGTTTTGTATGACTGGTTAGCTGGAAGAACATTTGCACTCTGGAGCAAACTCCAGCAGCATCACCTACTGCCTTTACCTGCTGGACAGTATTGGAGGATTGCAGGGTGGCAGTAAAAAGGAACCTGCAGACCTCTAAGCCCTCAGCTTGGGGTTTAGTCATTGTTTCAAAGAACCAGAGTTATGGCAGAGTAAATAAACATCTTTTTTCTTTTCAGCCTGTGTGTGTTCTTAGGTTTCATTAACAGGAATTGTTTGCAGTTAAAGCATTGGATTTCTTTCTCTCTGACTGATACCACAATGTGGGTTATTGACTTCATGACTGTGAGATGAAGTTGCTTCCTTTCTTTTTGAAAACACAGTTAAGGTGGACATTTGCATATGGTAGATATGCATATTTTCAGTACCTGGTTCAATACATCATTTTGTTAAAGCTAGTTTCATTTTGTGCTTGCTTTAGAGATGTTCAGATTGCTGCAATATTGGACCAAAAGAATTATGTTGAAGAACTAAACAGGCAACTGAAGTAAGTATTACTTAGAAGTGTGTGTGTCAGGCTTACAGGGAAATTCCTGTTGCACCACAGCTTTGGGAAAGAACTCCAAGAAAGAGGTGCAAGTTCTTGATGTTTAAGCTGAGGATTTAGTGGAGTAGGAAAGGACACTCTCCTGGGGGAGACTCAGGAAATGTGAGTTTTCATGCTTTTTGTTTTGGCAGTCAGAACCTTTATTTTTTCAAAGAAGCAAAAGCTGATGAAGGTCCTCATGGTTCGTAACTTCACAGGTACAAAGAGCTTGGGCTGGATTCGAGCTGGATTTGAGTGTTCTGGGTGAATCCTCGTGTTTTTGTTTCTCTGCCTTTCAGAATATTTTAGTTTGTAGCTTTAACACCTAGGGCTGAAACTAAGTTCAATGCTTGCTGGAAGCTACTTGTAGGTTGTGGTTCCTGTAGAGACAGTTTTCAGGAAAGCAGCATTTCCCCCTTACTTTGCATGATGGAACAAGCCCAGTCCACCACTGTGTTTGGTACTATGCAAACACAGGAACAGTGATTTTAATTCCCTGAGGAGAACTGTACAAAATTAAACAGTGTGAGGAGCTTAACAGGGAAAAAAACCCCAATAAACCAAACCCCCAAACCAAACAAACCCACAAAGTAGAGTGCATAGCACAGCTCATCTTGATCCCTTTTTGAAATGTAAATCATGTTTTTAATTTTTGAATGCCGGTAGTCTTGATCATTAGTTACTTTAAGGTTACTGTTGGAGTAGAGATAGTCTGGTTTGAAATGGTGTTTTGTTTTCCTGTGTGTGAAGTGCAACCTAAAAAACACGTGCTTCCAGCAGAAACAGGCAATCAGGTTATGGAAAAGGCCTGGCTGTAGTTTGATAATGTAAAAAACAAGAGTAATAAAAGGGAATAAAATTCTGATGAGACTCCTAAATGAAGTCAAGAAGCATCAAGAAAGAGAGAGCCTCAGGACAAATCTCAAAAAAATCAAAGATTTTTATAAAAGAAATGTGTTTTAGAGGAAGAGAACCTGGAGAATGGTTTTGTTTTATAGGCAGAAATAACACGGAGATTGTAAACTCTTTGTAAACACAGAGATTTTCCTTGAAGGGAACTCATTTATCTTTTGGATGCTTTTGGATATAGTTGTGAGGATAAAGGAAAGGGAGAATACGTGTGAAGTCATAGCCAACCAGGAGTTTAAGTGAGAGGAGTGACACTGGGAATTGTAAAGAAGTATAAAAATATTCAACAAAGGAAAGTAATTTTCTTATATTTAGGAAAACCTCAGGTAACGGGAGCAGACCTTTTAGCTCTTAACCATTAATCCCTGTACCTTACATTAAAGTTTTTGTGCTTGGTTGGCTGAGTTTTGCTGTAATTTTGAATACCATTTTTTCTTTTTCCCTCTCAGTAGCACAGTCAGCAGCCTCCATGCAAGGGTTGATTCACTGGAGAAATCAAACACTAAACTGATCGAAGAGGTATTGTTTTCTTTTGGGAATGTATAACATATTATTTACTCTCAAAGGCTGTTTTGCTAATTATATTGTATTATTCTATGTAAGTTTTGTATAATGGGTTCAGATACCTTTATTTTGGCCTGAAGGAAAGGTGCAGTAGCTGCAGGGATTTGAAGCCAGCTTGCCTAGGTAGCCTGTAGCATCGGGAAATTAATTCTGGGTGACATTGCAATTTCCAACTTTTGGACAAAACGAGAAGAGAATCCTTTCCTAATGCCAGCTGTCAGTCTGATTTTGTGCAGATGACTAGTCCAGAATGGATGGCACCAGTTGCTACAAAGAGACAGAAAGCAGTTCACCGAGCAATTTCTGTTACTCAGCTTTAGCCAAAGGATCATTTCTTACTTGTTTGCTGTATGCCTATATAGAGCTTTTAGACTTGTCTAGTTCTGGTTTTATATTTATATCCTATATTTTTCCTTATCTTTGATGCTTGACTAGATTCCGATGTTTTTAACTTTGTAAGAGACAACATCTTTTTTTTTTTTTTAAGTCCGAGCTGCTTGAGAAATAGTTAATGAAGTGGAAAATTGAAAACTCTAAATTCAGCTGTGGAAGGGACTCGAGGTGTAATGTATCCACACAGAGGGAAGACATTGTTTCTGAGTGTTAATTCTCAGAGTATTCTGGTTCCTTTAGAAACCTTCAGCCCAGCTCTAACCTATTTTGATCATTTGGCTTATAATTCTGTTGTTAAGGTATATACTGTAGGGCCCAGTTATGAAGTGTCATCTTCTGTAAATATGTTTGCTTTTCATCCGGGGGAGGCTTTCCTATGTAAATTGCTCCATTTGGTACATTAAGATGTCCAAAAAAAGAGAATAAAACTGGATGAACTTGAAGTCAAATGGAAACAAAAAATTGAGGATGAGGAAGGGGAACTGAGGGTCTTTAAGTCATAATGAAGCAAGGAAAAGAAAGCATGTTCTTTACCAGACATGGAATAATGAAGTATCTTGAATACTCATGCTGCTGTGTAATGGAAGTGACTCAGGACTGAAACCAGGAGCTTTGTTTTCTTCAAAACAATTAATCTTCTGTTTGGTAGGTGAGAATAGGGCAGAGGATGTCTTGGTCTTGCATTCATCAGAACATTTTTCCCTTTATTTCTACTCACAGTAGTGGTCACACTGCTTTGCTTTTTTTGTTGTTTGTTTGTTTTTTCTTTTCAGTTAGCGATAGCTAAAAACAATATAATTAAACTCCAGGAAGAAAACCATCAATTAAGGAGTGAAAATACTCTGATTTTAATGAAAACCCAGCATCATCTAGAGGTATGTTGGTTTCACCACATTTAACATTGTGACGTTGTGTTTGTACATCTCAGCCTGAAGTGAGCTGTGACTTGTCCAAATCTGAAACAACTTTCGTCAGGGAAAGGACCTATGAGAAGGCAATACTGTGTGAAAGTCTTGTCAAAATAAGCTGTGTTTTAGTTGGCAGACTGTCTGTTTTGGCCTGTCTCGTATCTGGAGTCATTGTGTGTCCAACTGCTGAACTTGACTTTCCAGCTGTGATTTGCAGCTCCTTCTGTGACTCCTCGTACGTGTTTCCCAGGATGATGGGTAAAACCCCAGGTTAAGCAGATGTTTGGATTGCTCAGTAGTGAAACAGTTGTGTGTTCAACTGACACTGAAGGAGGACAGTGCTGCAGTATAGATGTTCCTTTTGCTACCTGTACTCAATTCTCATTGTAAAACCGATGGTCACGGGGCAGGAACAGCTCTCTCTGTGTCTGTGCCGTGCTTGGATAATGTATTTGTTTTTGTAATAATGTAATTGATTTTGTTTCCCCTGAATCTCTGCTATTAATTGCTGTACTTGTGATGGAGAAAGACTCTCTGTATCTTTGTAGGCAACTAAAGTGGATGTTGAAGCAGAACTTCAGACCTACAAACACTCCAGGCAGGGTTTGGATGAGATGTACAGTGAAGCTCGCAGGCAGCTTCGGGAGGAGTCCCAGCTTCGACAGGTGAGTCTTGCTGCCTCTGATAAAATGGGGTTTTTAAAAGAGCAATCAACACATTAATATTTCTATAATAATGTTGCTGAAGAATAGTAGAGAAAGAATATTTTTCTTTGAGAAATTTTAGGTTAAATTGTTAGCAATACTGGGTGCTCTGTATCTATGCTAAATATAAATACTTTAGTTCTGTTTTTGTAATTAATACCGAGGCAACTCTGTGCAGCACTGACAGGGTAATTTTTTGTCATGTGAATTGTGTTCTCCTGAAGTTAAAAATACCCCATTGGTCACTAAGTATATGAGTGTAACATTTATGTAGTGGATAATTTGCAAAATGAAAGAGGGGCAGAATTTCGAAAGGGGTGAAATAGGTGGTGCTGCTGCTCTGTTCGAGTTTGCTTCCCAGGGTTTTTTCAAGATAGAGTGTTACATAGTTACATAATTAGTCTGTGTTCCACTGTGCTTGTGTTTCATAGGATATGGAGAATGAGCTGGTGGTTCAAGTCAGTATGAAACACGAGATAGAGCTTGCCATGAAGTTGCTGGAGAAGGATATCCATGAGAAGCAGGATACCCTCATCGGCCTCCGCCAGCAGCTTGATGAAGTTAAAGCAATTAACATGGAAATGTACCAAAAGCTGCAGGTAAAACTGCTGCAGACAAAGCAAGTGAGAGAAATGCATTGCCATTCTGGTCAGCTAAACATGCTGTTCCTTTGGGTTTTGGTTCCCTTATGCTTTCTTAGATCAGTGTGACATTTTGGAGCATTGCTTGTGCAAACATGACTTCACACAAAGTTCTGAAGGAAGCCACTGGGTGGGTTTATGGAAGAAAAGAGCGTGGGGATAAGACCATGGCCTAATAACATGCTGTGTGAAAGAGAGAGAGTAATGGTGCATCTGTATAATGACATTTTTTTTGACCTGTGTTGTATTAAAAAAACAAAAGAATCTAGGCACATAGTGAGGAGTTGAAGACCTGACCTTTCCAAGTAAGAAAAGGAAGACAAGACTGTATTAAGTGGAAAAAAGTAATTACAGTTTTGGGGAGTTTTTTAAGTTTGTTTTTTTTTTTAATCTGTCAACAAATTAAGAAAATCTATAACAATGCAATGCCTTTTTGGGAGAATATGGGTCTCAGAGACTCCCCCTGCAGTGAACAGATAACAAAAACACAGGGAAGTTTACCAGTGAATTATTAATGCAGAACATGACTTTGATTTATGGAATAAATTATCAGAATCAGCACAAGAAACCAGTCAAATCTGTGGCAGAATGAGGGGAAAAAAATCAGGATGCTGCAAAAAGATGATTGAGGTGATGGACAAAAGATCCTGCTTTTCCACCTGCAACTGTGAGGAAACTGGACCAGAGAAAGAGAAATATATATAAAGCTGGAAAGAAATACGAGTAGAGAATGTTCTCCAGTGTGAGGGTCTGTGGGGTTTGGATCTGTAGGAGAACCTTAGTGATTTTCAGGACTAAAGAGCATCTTGGCTCTTTACTGGTAAGGTTCTAATGGGCTACTGGATCGATGAATTTAAGTTGACTTCCAAAATAATTAACTAAGAAAGGAAACCAAAGGGAAACATTTTTGCTTAAAAAATAGCATCACTCACAGATAACAAAACTACAGATTTGCCAGGCATAGAATGTTAAGTACTTGTCAGCAAGGGTTTTTAGAAGGGAATACTTAAAAGTAATTAAAACATGAAGTCATTGCAACATTTTCCCCTTCAGATACTGAAGAAAAAGCCCCCATGAGGTAGCAGTGCAAAATACACCAACTTCAGTTTTGACCTTTTTTGTAACACAGGTTTCTGAAGATGCTATGAAAGAAAAGAGTGAAATAATTAGTCGATTAGAGGATAAGACCAATCAAATTAATGCAGCTATGAAACAACTAGAACAAAGGTACAGCCCCATCTCTGTTTCTCTTCATTCATCACTCCATCCCCTCACGTTTTACTGCATTCCTACACAGCTGCCACTGAAATGTAACTGTCAAGTAGAACGTTTAAAATGAACCTTTCTGAAACTTCACCTAATGCTTTGCTGTTGGATCTTTTTTTTCTGTTTAACAAATACAACTTACTTGAAACACAAACTTGATCTTTCAGTTTTCTCCCTCCACCATCTTTCTTCTGGTCCTAGGTTTTTGTGCTGATATCAAAAGCTGTTCTTTCAGTTGTTTCAAAATTACGATACATTTTTACCTATTTTTTCCCCCACCTGAATGAAATGCAATAGAAACTGAAGCATTAATCTTGCTTGTACTTAAGCATGTGCTTAATATAAGCATTTAATGCCTTCAAGGATCACTGGTGTGTTTACTGAAGCTGTTACAATTTTGTCCATTGCTTTGGAAGTGCCATTATTTTCAATGACCTAATGAGTTTTCACACTGGAAGGTTGAAAAGTGAAAGACTAAAAGTCCTGAATATAAATTTACATTACAGTTAGACTGCATGTACTACATGATATAATATGATTCATATGTTTTAATTTAGTGGCCTTATATGCAACATTGACCTTTTTAATTGTAAAATATAACATATCCATAAGCCCTGTCATGTTGGTGTTTGACATGTCTTTTTTTTCATTTAAATCTGATTATGAAAAACATGTATTAAAAAAAAATTAGTGACATGAATATTCTTTTATTGACATCCTTTTTTCCTCTTTTTTCTTTTTCTTTTTATCCTTTATCCCAATTTTTGTTTTTAATGTTTTGCTGCCTTCATCTGTCTTTGATTTTTGTCCACTGCATTCATGAAGTGACAAAGATCTGTTAACTCAAACTAGGACTATTGCAATGTCATTCGTCAAATGTGCCAGCAATGAAGCTCAGCACCAGTATAAGCTTGTCAAGGATATATCATTCTGAAAGCTCCTCCTCATCTGCTGGGTTGAAATAGTTACTGATAAAATAGACCTTCAGAACTTTAAAATTCAGACTTGAAAGTGGTATTAGAAATCCTGCACTGTAACTGGTCGTAGCTGGGTTCTGTTTTGTTTTCTGAAAGAACATCACCTCCGATCTCACTTATCCCTCTTAAAAAACCAGTAAATTACTGCACTATTACTAAGCAAATGTGAGCTAGTTTTCTAATGCTATTTAATCACTTCTTAGTTGTCGAACAAAGTTTATTGTAGGAGGTTAAATACCTTTTCCCCTGCTTTCTGCTTTCAGTTGTAGGCTGTATTTATCCCCAAAGCGGGCTCTCTGTTGGGTGTTGTGGTTGTAACGAGCGCTGTTTTACACAGAGTGACAGGAGTTTAGGGAAGAGGAGCTGGGTGTTCTATCAGAACAATGTGTGTGAGAAAAGAGGGTGCTGCCAACATATATAATCTGTATGTACAGTGAAAGAATTATGGGGTTTGGGGATAAAACAGCTAAAGCACAATTCCATTTTGCTGATGTCATGTGGTGAAATATTTTCATGGAGCCTGACTTGGGTGGGACTCCAGACAGGAGGGGACAGTAGGTTCTGTAGCTGTGCCTCCTGCCCAGAGCAGCTGCACCCTGCTGGCTGCTGGGAAAGGTGCAGTGGTAAATAGGGTCTAGGGTTAGGGCCCAGCCCCTGAACTTGTCCGACTGGTTTGTCAGCGGAGGATCTGCCTGGCTGCGTCTGCACATCAACACCCCAACACCCGTGGGAGTGCCCAAAGCCTTTTCCCTCCCTCCACCCATCACTAGGCTGCCTTTACAACTCTAATTTCTGCTGTGAGTTGCTGCTTGGCTGCACTGCAGAAATAAGAGAGTTTAACCTCCTGACTGCCCCTGATACACTTCCTGATGTTTGCTCTGAAATTTGTAGTGCAGGTTGACTGGGAAAGTAATCTTCAGGTCTTTCAGCAGAAGGGGATATGTTTGCAAAAGTGGGCAGGACACAATAATACAGAAAGGTTTCTACTCCATGGTTATATGCTGCCTTATTCCTTAGTTTGGAGTCAGAAAGAGCCTGTAACATGGGCTGGCTACTGAAAAATAAAAGTAAATATCTTCCATCCTCAAAGAAAACCCAAACCACAAGCACTGACTAGACCAGTGGGTGGACCATAGCAGGAATGGGAGCACTGTCCATCTGACAGTCTGTGCAGACAGGTGTCTGCCCCAGTACCATCTGAGTGGCCAATCCAGCTGCAAACTGGGGCCAGCTCAGTCTCTGAGTGAATGCCAGCAGTGCAGTCAGGCCCAGCACCCAGGGGACGGGGCTGCAGCTTTTGGGCAGCAGGTCCCTTTCTGCCTTGCTTGTGGAAACTACACTGGAGTAGATTTTGCTGTTGGTGTTAATGTCCTGTGTAGCTTCATTCAGCTTTTGCACAGGGAACTGACCTGCTTTCCCCAGTATTCTTCTTGGCATGTTTTGGCCCTCTGTGCACTACCATTGCAAGTATGACTGGGAGCATTCTCAACCCCCCTGGGACAGCTGAGGTAGTGCACACTGGATAAGATTAATTCCAGCCTTTGTTCACTTGTTTACTGGCAGCTTTTGCAAACTCCTGCTGGTGCATCAGCAGAAGCCCAGAGGCAAACATATTGCTGATTTACCTCTTTTTAGCTGACACTGGAGTTGAGGCGCTCTGTGTTCAGGTAGCTGCTGGAAGTGAGAAATCAAGCATCTCTCAGATTTCTCCCACCACTTACCTGAGAGGCCCTTAAACATTTTTGCTAAATGGGATGCAGCAGGTGGGGACATTCAGTGGTCCTTCACAGGCTCTTCCACTCTCCTGCCTTTTCATCCAGGCAGGGGTAGCCTGATGAAGCACAAGTCCCATTTTAGTACATTCCCTTTGGTTACATTACATCCATCTTTTTTTTTGCACTAAAGAGGTGACCAAGCAGAGAGGACCCACAGTGAAGTAATGGATTCCAAGGGGAGTGTTAGCTGAAGCAGGCACAAACCCCTGGAATTCAGTAAGGAAAGATTAAATAAAAAAACCAATCCCTCATTTCTTGATGAATCGTTTTTATTTGTCTATAATATGGAGCTATTTTAACCAGTGTAAGAATGCATTATTTTTAATACAGATTATTTAATTTAAGAATATGATGTGGTTGAAATAGTTCTATAAGTGTAGTGGGACCTGTCAGGGTGTGCTTTGATGTCTTAGGCTAGTTAAGTTTTTTGCTGTCTGACTGCAGTGCTCTGTATTCAGCCTTAAGCCTCAATTGTTTTGAGCTGCTTTTGCACAACACATGCTCTGCCCCCTCTTAATGGGTGACTAGTGTGAGCCAGGATTTTTTTTTGGGGGGGGAAAAAAAGCTTCAAAAAATACCACATGAAGGAATGCTAAAGGAAAAAGAAAAGCATCAAGTTCTGTGCTTCAATTCAAACTCTGTATCATCATGCTTTGGCACCTGTTATTCATGAGCAGAAAATAAAGCAGTGATTGCTGACAGTGCTTGCTCTCTGACTGGGAAAAGCCACGAGCTAGTTCTCTAGGCATTGGATGGATTTCTCGTTTGAGTTTGTGAGTTTCCCCCAGGCTTTGTTTTTATTTAGAAATGTTTCTATTTCCCCATTTTTCTTTTATTTGTCTTCTTCACCCTCTACACCCTAATTCTAGCTTCAGTTTTACCCAAAGTTGATTTGAATTACACCAGATTGCAGCAAGCAGAGAAGGCCCAAATGGAGGCTGAGGCCGAGGATGAGAAACTTAACCAGGAATATGTGAATAAATCTGAAAGTCTGCAGAAGGAATTCTCCCAGAAGGAGAAACAGCTGTGAGTATGTCTTTGCTGTTTGGAAAAACACATGGCAGTAAACATTCTACATGGCAATATGTCCTGTGTCCTGATCCAGGCTGGTTGTTGAGAAATGGTTTTGAACAAAATGTAAATACTAAAGATCTTAATGTGAGGTACTGGCAAGGCAGAAGAAAATATGCCATTCCAGGAAAGTCAAGCTGGCTTTGAGTGCCTCTAAAATGATGTACAGCTTGAAAGGAAAGAACAGTATTACTTTTCTATCTAAACAGCTCAATTCATGAGGGAATTATCCTAAGTGGGGGAAAATACATAGTATAGTAGTAATAATACACACTCTTAACAAAACCCACAAACATGGAGTAGGATAAACTTAAACAGAAGTGGGATAAGAATAGTTTGGTTGATCTGCTTGTGAATAAGGCAGAAGTGGTTTAACTTACCACTGCACAGGAAATAAAAAAATAAAAATTCACCAGAGTCATGACAGTTAAAAACTAATGTAAAAGCCAACCCTTTAGTCTTTCTCCTGTTAAATCATTCAGTACTAATTTAAAGAAATATGTAGTGCTAAAAGCTACCTGTAAGGGCAGGTATTTTCCCTGTTTGAGAAGATAACACATCGATTATTGAAGTAAATCTGTGGCTTAAAATTCAGTGATTTCCAATCCCATTATTAGCCCCCCCACCTCTCTCACAGCTCTGAATGTTAATACACTTGTTGAACTGTCATGATAAATGGTCACTTTACTACCACAGTCATCTCTGCAAATTTGGGCAAAAGAACAGTTCAGACCCCAGACTTAGAATTCTGCAATTCTGAAACCTCCAGGTCACGTTCACTTCTTTTTCAGCCAGATGCTGAGGTAGTGTCCCAAAATATAAGTCTTTCCTTTGAAAATGGTTTTGGTTTTAAACCAGGAAAATTAATGTGGATACAGGTTTTCCATCAGAAGACCTTGCATGAATACTCTTGAGATTTTTCTCCTCTTTTTGTGTTGGCACAGTTTGGATCTGCAAGGTTTGAACAGTGTGCTTCCACCCTCTGGTTTCTCCATAACATTCTAAACACCAACTCTTCCATGAAACTGATAGTAAAATTCCAGCTGGAATGGACCTTCCATCAGAATAGCCCTAATTCCTTTAACTGGCCTTCTGTTAAACTGACAGAATCCATTTCCCTCTTTGCATTGAACGTCAGTTATGTAGAAAGCTCAATAAAAACAGTAATTTGAAGTCTATGCTCCTTTATTTTCAATTCTGTTCAACGTGCCATAAACCTTAGTCTAAAATAGAAGATTCACGTTTACAGGTGTAAAATTAAATAACTTTTATGTGTACCAGAGACATCTGCAACCATTGTGGCAGATTGGGTTGGTTTATTTTAGAAACAAGCTGTTTAAGGTTAAGAGGGCTTTTACTTATGCATGCTTTAAAAATACTTCAGAATTTTGTGGTTAGTCTTCTCTTACTTATTTATATCAAAGGTCAACTCTTCAAAATTATGCCATATTCTTGGTCCTTTAAACACACTTATTTTTAAAAGCATTTTCTAAGTGACAATGCTTTGTTTACTGCACTGATACATAAAATATTGTCATGTTGATTCATTATTTCTGTTTGGGAAAACATGTAAATTAATAATTTATTATCATAATAATCTATTGCACCCAGAAATAAACTCATTTTTGTTTTTAAAAATGATACTCTAGTGCACAGTGATGTTTTGTTTTGTTTTACATATTCTAGGCTTCAGCTGGAAACAGATTTGAAGATAGAAAAGGAGTGGCGGCAAACCTTAGAGGATGATCTTCAGAAGGAGAAGGAAACTGTATCTCATCTGAGAATAGAGACCCAAGAAATAATTGACCTTAAAAAAGTAAATTCTGCAGAAAATTTGACTAATAATTCAGACATTGACTGCAAAGTTAATTATGCACTTTGACATGGTATTTTTAAGAATTTCTGCAGGTAGAAAAGGAAGATTAGATTAATGTATTCTCACAAATAGAATAAGGGAAAAAAGTGGGGTTTTTACTCTCCATTTAGCCCTCAGATCAGAGCTCAGTGCTTTGGTTTAATTGTGAGTGGTTGCTGTTCCAAGTTGAACTTGGAGCCCCAGTGGTGGGATGGATCACTCATTCCCTTGGCCTGCTCAGCACAGTCAGCTCTGGGCAGGAGCAGTGTTCTAGGCAGGGGGCAAATACAACCTGAGAAGAGTTTGGCTTCATTTTACTTTGTTTGTTTTGTTATAAGGAGTTCCTTAAACTTCAGGAAAAGAACAAGCAGCTGAAAAGGATATGTGAAGACCAAGAAGCTGCTCTCCAGGAACTGGCATCCAAGCTGAGCGAGTAATTCCATCATTCATGATGACTGTTATTATTGTCAGATAAACTCGAATTAAGAACTATAATCAGATGGTGCTCAAGTGTATTAGACTGTCGGTGACAATAATATTGTTATTTTGGTACCTAACCAGTTAAGAGAAGTGAATATGTCTAGTTAGGTCAGGTCTGTTAATTTTTAATTTTGGCAGCTCTGGAATGTCCCTTTGGTCAGCTGGGATCCCCTGTCCCTGCTGTGTCCACTCCAAACTTCCCATCACCCCCAGTCTCCTGCCCAGTGTGGCAGGACAGGGAGCAGGAAAGGCCTTGGCTCTGTGTGTGCTCTGCTCAGCAATAACAAAAACATCTCCATTATCAACCTGTGTTCAGCACAGATCCAAAGCACAGCCCCTCCCAGGCACTGTGAAGGCAATTCTCTCTCCCCCAGCCCAAAGCAGCCCAGTGCCCAGTGTGCAGAGGCTAAAAGGGGACGTGGAGCCCTCTGGAATAGCTCGGGGGGTGTATCCTGTGGCTCAGGGGCGGGTGGGCTGTGGGGGGGCTGCTCTCTCCACGCTGACACAGTGTGGGCTTGTGCTCTTGTTCAGAGGACTTGGCTTAGAATTTTTTGAGGTTGAAACCAACTTTTTAAATTGTTGGACCGTGACTGACCATGTAGAAGTTTGAAATAGCATTATCTTATTCTTTAGATCGAAGCTGAAAATAGAAGATATAAAAGAAGCCAACAAAGCATTGCAGGTCAGTAGTACTTTGAGGAAAGAAAACTTTTTTTTTTTAGCTGTTCCTTTTGAAATCTTTACTACCTCAAGCATGTTCTCTTTGCACCTATACTTGCTCTGTCCTGTCTCCTTTTGGTTTTGGGGTGTTTTGGAGCAGTCCTGTGCTGCTGTAGAGCATCTTTGTGACATTACACTGGTCCCAGGGCACTGAGCAATTCAGGCAGTGAATGTTCTGCTCTTGATTTGTCTTGTCCCCTGGAGCCCGAAGTTTAACTTCATCAGGTACATACAATTATGGTAATTTTTCCTCCAGGGCCAGGTTTGGTTGAAGGACAAAGAGGCCACACATTGCAAGTTATGTGAAAAGGAATTTTCGCTTTCCAAGAGGAAGGTAAAACTTTTATTAAAATTTCTTCCAACGTGTTTGTAACTATTATGAGAAAAAAAGTTAATTATCTTAGAGGTGTGCCATGAAGTGTAAGTGCTTGGGTGAATGCAGAGTTATTGTTGAGGTGTCTTTCTAGTTCTTTGATACATACGATGCAGCTGGGCCCTAATTTCAAAAGAAACTGTGTCTTTTGGTTAAGTGCCACAAAGGAATATTTTAAAACTTTAAAATTATTATTATTTAAGTACTTTGTGGAATCCTCATCTCAAACACGTCAGCTCTGACACTGTTACAATTTGACATGTGGAAGTCTTTTTATGACATCTTTTTATACAGTGGAGTTAGAAAATGTGAGTTTATTGTCATTTTAAAGTAAAATGTGATGGTAATTTCCATGCTTTAATAATGTGTGCAGGAATTTTCGTCTTATCTTTTTATGTTAAATCTCAATTTGCTACCTGACAGAAGCATCCACTGTTTGGAATATCATTGCTCATGCTGTATTTTTATACAGCAGAATATGTGCTTAATCCAGAGTTTGAGTGCAATCTGCAAAGCATATGTATAAATAAGAAAGTAATAAGCATATAAGGCCCTAGAAGTAATAAATATATAAGGACCTAGACCACTGTGGTGCAATCCTAGATAAACATGATCTGTGTAGGATGGCATCATAATTTGGGATGTGGGTAAATTCCCTTTCGAAAGCTGATTCCATGCTCAGACCCAAGAAGTGAAAGGGGCCACATTTCGGATTGCTCTGTGTATATTGTTTATTTTTTCCAATTGCTGAGTATGTTTCAATTGTAAATTTAAACTTTTGATCTTCTCCCCACTGTTTAGCATCACTGTAGAAACTGTGGTGAGATCTTCTGCAATGCCTGTTCTGACAACGAGCTGCCTCTGCCCTCCTCACCAAGGCCTGTCCGGGTCTGTGACTCCTGCCACGCAATCCTCATACAGAGGTGCTCTTCTAACGTGCCCTAAGGTTGTGTCACTTGATATTCATTAGTTCTGGTGTTCAGCTATTCCCGTAGAAAACCCAACGCCACCTAAAGAATGTACAGCAGTATTTCCAGGCTGCCAGGTAAGCAGTGTAGCGTTGCAGTTTTGAGGTGCACTGGAGGAGTCACTTCTCTGCTTCCTTTTGAAACCAACAGAGGAAATGGGACCCAAATGTAAAAAATGCACATGTGGAAAAAAAACCCCAAACAGATGAGGATGTTGGTCTAACAAATGGCTTA